AGGTTTCCACGGATGACCAGAAGTCGGGAACGGTTGTTCCCACAGAAAGCACCCCACACCATGCAACTTCCGCCCCCGAATCTGTCGACTTCCTGTACACAACATTGGGCATACCGTTCACGATGTCGTCTCCAGACTCTATGCCTGCCGTCCGCGAATCTGAGGGTAAACCTGGATTCATCGCTAAAGACGACTCGATTCCAGTCTCTCTGGGTCCATCGGAGGTGACGTTGGGCCCACAGCAGACGTTGACGTTGATGAAACGGCGTCAATATTGGCCTACGATATGGACGCCGAGAATGGAGATTGGCAGCCCGCAACCGATTTCGAATGGTCTGTGAGGACATTCGACCTCTAAACATCTCAGCCCTGGTTCGTGTAGTCGGCAGAAATCTGTCACGTAGGTGACGTAGGACGATTTGACGGTCTTCTGCTCGTGACGTCACACGTGGACGTCACGACCTTGGGCGATCAGAAATGGTGCCAGTTTGTTGTAGACGACCTCGCAAGTCATACACAGTACGAAGGCTGCATCCCATTGCTCTTGCGACGTCAATAACAGATCTTCCCGCTTGCAACATGCCAACGGCACGTTCACGTTGCACATTTGACAATCGTGGCATTTCAAGTACCGTCAGAGCTGTGGTTTAAAAGTGTTTTTTCAATTCTTGAGGCCAATGCAAACACGTGCATATGAAGAAAACTTCGATGCGAAGATCACGTGATCGACTGCACGTGCAAAACCTGATTTGGCACTAACGTCATTTGCTCGACAAATAGATGGGTTTGAATGGGTTTTGCTAACGTTTTTCTAGAGTCGAAAGATAGGGATCCCATTTCGGATACATAGATGTATCATCAGAGAAGTTTGAAGTTTCTTTTTTGACTCAGTATATAAAACTCAACTCCTTGTTTTCAAAAGTTTACATGGTCTAGCTCCTCAGTACCTCTGTGATCTGTTCCACCGTAATACTCCTGTACGTTCACTCCGATCAAATGATGAGTGTCTTTTGACAATTCCTGTGACTAGGACAAAAACATATGGTGACAGGTCACTCGAGACGACTGGCCCTCATCTCTGGAACAATCTTCCATCTCACCTCAGAACACAACCAGATTTAGCTGTTTTTAAATCAAATCGGAAGACGTGTCTCTTTGCTGAAGCATTTGAACTCTATGTGATATCTAGACCATCTTAGAGCCAGAACGCCTTTGAGCGGATTACGGATATTGTTGCTATATAAGTATTTGTATGTATGTATGTATGTATGTATGTATGTATGTATGTATGTATGTATGTGTATGTATGTATGTATGTATGTATGTATGTATGTATGTATGTATGTATGTATGTATGTATGTATGTATGTATGTATCTGCACACATTCCAGCAGGACAATGCTCGAGCGCACACTGCACGTGTTGCAACACAGTTTCTGGCAAACAGCAACATTCCTCTATTTCCATGGCCTGCATTGTCACCAGATTTGTCACCCATTGAACACTTGTGGATTACATCGGCCAACGCCTCTCACGTCGCCCACAGATCAACAACCTTGGGGAACTTGAGAATGCCTTGCAACAAGAGTGGAATGCATTGTCTCAAAACATTATTCAGAGACTTATCAGTTTAATGGGGAGACGTTGCACAGCTTGTGTTGCTGCTAACGGTGTCATACACGTTACTGACTTTCCCATTTGACTCCATCTTTCTTTCATGGTCAGCTGAATTAAAACTTCACTGTTTTGCTGGATTGGTTCTTGTTTCTTTTCTTTACCAATCATTGGACTACAAAAGTATGTAAAATTTACACCGATTGCTCATTTATGCTCTTGGAAATCCAAACTAATACAGGTGGTGCGTTTTCAATGATGTTCAGTATAATTACCAGACTTAATTGATCATTATTTCCAGGTTGGTGGCCAAGTAAGACATGGCATTTGGTGATCCTCATTTTGATATGAAATCTCGTGTAAAGCTCTCGTATAAAGTTCCAGTGCTGTCCCGATCACTCCAATTCAAACACAAGACTTGTGGTGATGATGGCTTATTAGAGGACGTTTTTGATCGTCTAAGGTTGTACCCGGCTTTCCTGAGGTGGTGACCTTGCGAAATCGAAACGAATGGTGCTTCAGAACATTTTCTTGTGGCGAACAGCTGTCGTCCAGTGAGCCTTATACTGATGCTAAGTTCCTGAATAGATATAATTTTGATAGTAACAAATAAACCCATTCAAATTGAAAAGGAGACCCAGGGAGTTGGAAGATCCAACCTGGGGAAATCTAGACTAGCTTCATTCAGGGCTTTAGGGCTTTAGCATTGCAGAGAGGGAGAGACAGTAGGGAAAATAATGTGGTTCAGGGACTTGAGACAGGCTAGGTGAGACTGAGCAATGCCTTGCCTTCACGATCTAAGGTCACCCTGGGTCGTCCACAAAATTTTGTTTCTGGAAATGCTCCACAGGGTGTGTTTGGGAGACACTTTTCACCAAGTACACTTGCAAAAATTTCTTAAATGGACATTATCATCTTCCGTATCGACATAGCTCTGTTAGCTGTCAACATATACTGAGTCAAAAAAGAAACTTCACATTCTTTCTTCAGGGCACTATAAAGAACAAGAGATGGTAAGATGTTAAATTGTTATTATTTCATTGCTGAGATCTGTGTGATGTACTCGATAGACTGACAGTCCCATAATCAGTTCCATTAGGCTACACCGCCGTTCCAAAACATGGGTATACAGAATGTCAAGTCACAAGAATAAAAGTGCGAAATTTCTCAGTTCAATATCGTGTATGGCCGCCCCGCGCATTCACCACTGCCAAACACCGTCTCCTCATCGACTGCCTGATGCTTGTGAACACGTGGTTTGGGATTCTGCGCCATTGCTCTTGCAAGGCAGCGCCAAGTTCCTGCAAATTCTGAGGTTGGTTCCTAACACCACGAAGCCTTCTCCCAAGAGCATCCCAAACGTGCTCTATTGGATTAAGGTCAGGGGACCTCGATGGCCAGTCCATGACGTTGATTCCAGCGTTTTGAAGGAAATTTCGTGTCAACATCGCGGTATGCGGCCGAGCATTATCATGCTGGAACTGTGGACCTGGGACATGAGCCGCCATGAAAGGAACGAGTTCAGGGGTGAGCCCCTGGTCGCGGTAAGCAGCAACTGTGAGGTTTCCACGGATGACCAGAAATCGGGAACGGTTGTTCCCACAGAAAGCACCCCACACCATGCAACTTCCGCCCCCGAATCTGTCGACTTCCTGTACACAACATTGGGCATACCGTTCACGACGTCGTCTCCAGACTCTATGCCTGCCGTCCGCGAATCTGAGGGTAAACCTGGATTCATCGCTAAAGACGACTCGATTCCAGTCTCTCTGGGTCCATCGGAGGTGACGTTGGGCCCACATCAGACACTGACGTTGATGAAACGGCGTCAATATTGGCCCACGATATGGACGTCGAGAATGGAGATTGGCAGCCCGCAACCGATTTCGAATGGTCTGTGAGGACATTCGACCTCTAAACATCTCAGCCCTGGTTCGTGTAGTCGGCAGAAATCTGTCACGTAGGTGACGTAGGACGATTTGACAGTCTTCTGCTCGTGACGTCACACGTGGACGACCCGACCTTGGGCGATCAGAAGTGGTGCCAGTTTGTTGTAGACGACCTCGCAAGTCATACGCAGTACGAAGGCTGCATCCCATTGCTCTTGCGACGTCAATAACAGATCTTCCCGCTTACAACATGCCAACGGCACGTTCACGTTGCACATTTGACAATCGTGGCATTTCAAGTACCGTTAGAGCTGTGGTTTAAAAGTGTTTTTTCAATTCTTGAGGCCAATGCAAACACGTGCATATGAAGAAAACTTCGATGCGAAGATCACGTGATCGACTGCACGTGCAAAACCTGATTTGGCACTAACGTCATTTGCTCGACGAATTGATGGGTTTGAGTGGGTTTTGCTAACGTGTTTCTAGAGTCGAAAGATAGGGATCCCATTTCGGATACATAGATGTATCATCAGAGAAAAATTATTCATTATTTTTCAAATTACATTTTGTGAAGTTTCTTTTTTGACTCAGTATATTTAGGGGTGCGTACAGCTTTATCTTGCATATTTTCATATATCTGTTACGTTATGTTTTCTGTGTAATTTTTTTTTAAAATGCACAACTTTGTCTTGCATACTTTCCTGTGAATCAAGTATTTTACCATGATTATCGATTTTTCCGGTAACTGATGTATGCACGTTCAAACAAAAGAAACTTACAGATGCGCGGGGGCGCGGTGGGCGAGCTGGCTAAAGCGCCAGTTATCCATCGAGCTTGAGGTGTCGGGATCGAGCCCACCTGTGACCGGGTGTAAAAACCTTGGAGTCAACTTTGTGTGCAGACTCTTTCAGTGTTGTCACAACCCCTAGTGTACAGTACACAACCTCGTGCACTTAAAAGAACCCACGAATCCGTTGGTATATGACCAGATGGTGGCCACATAAATACGTGCAAACACCTAGTTGCGGGTACAGCAACGTGCAGTGAACTTGGACAAAGTACTGTGACTATGTGTCCCAGTCCACCCAGCTGTGATCATGAATGGGTACCTCGTAAGGGTAATATGCTAGTACAAGCAGCCACACATACACACACATGCAAGTCGTCACATGAGCGAAATTTCTTAAGTACGACGTTAAACCCCATTTCACCTCACCTCACCTCACCTACGTACAATGAGACGTGGTGTTTTGATTGTATAATATCTGCCAAGACCATGATAGTATTTCATGTTTTAATGTCAAATGTAATTGTGTTCAGAAAGAAAGACATTTCATTTTGACATAGCATCCCTGGGCGTCAAGCGGAGGTTGTGTAAGGGCGATGAGTAAGCTCTCGTCACTTAAAGAGCCCATTATTTTTCTCGAATCCGCGAAACAGTTTTTGGTCAGGTGTGATGTAACGTGGAGATAATTGACAGCCTCGGACACCTTCTAGGTCATCAAGGTGCCGTGTGACCTTGAAGGATGCTGGACAGTGTATATAAAATAAAGGAGCCCGCATTCACCCTGTCCACGACTCGGCGACAGAAGGCTTCCCGGTTGACTGAACACTCGACGACTCCTCAACATGATGCTGCAGGCAGTTCTACTCGCCAGTCTGGCGACGGTTGCTCTTGGTTCCATCTGCTGTGCTCCTCAGAAATGGGAAGGATTCAAAGACTACACCATTGTCGACTCCTCGGGTGGAGAGCGTGTAAGTACTTTTACACAGCTGACTTCCTCTAAACGGACACTCGGTAATAATATCATTAACAGGACGTAACTGGATGACAGGAAATTGAATTCCTCAATGACAGGAAATCCAAACTGAAGCATAATTTAGTATGATTAAACAAAGGTATCAAAAATTTCTGACATACGAACCCGTGAAGGTCCGGGTTAGAATGGACCTTCAGTAACCCATGCTTGTCGTAGGAGGCGACTAACGGGATCGGGTGGTCAGGCTCGCTGACTTGATTGACACATGTCATCGTTTCCCGATTGCGTAGATCGATGCTCATGCTGTTGATCACTGGATTGTCTGGTCCAGACTCGATTATTTACAGACCGCCGCCATATAGCTGGAATATTGCTGATTGCGGCGTAAAACTAAACTCGCTCACTCACTCTGACATATGATGTTCCCTGACAACAGTTTATTTTTTCAAATAGGATGTATTTCGGTTTTCCAGGGATACCCGCACCTCGTTGTGTCGAACATGAATATGTCGATTTCCCGGTTGTCTCGAACTTCTATTCCCTTCTGACCATTATGTATATGTGGTATGACATGAAGCTTGACTGCATCACTTGGATTAGTCTTTCGTACACATGATGTTTAGTTTTAAACATTTGCTTTATTGGTTGTGCCGAACTGTGGATAATTCGACCCCTCTTGAGTTTGTCATGCCGAGTTTGTACTGTAATATACCGTGAACAATACACTCGATTATCCATACCGGATTGTAATGACATATCTGCTTCGACACAGCAGTAAAATCATATTAAGGTAAAATGGTAGTTATCGAATCTTTATTCCAAGTTGTATAACTACTTCGTCGTTCTACTTAACTCTTCACAGTACTACAACATCTCTGACCAAGTGCGTTGGTGGTTTGTGTGAAAGTCACAGATATAAAGCTTTTACCGAAACAGTCCGGAAAGATGACGTTTGAAAAAAAATATTTTAAAAAGCATTTTAATGTCCTTTAGTATAAATAATGTCCAGTTGCGAGAAAAGCCTATCATCAGAAAGTACAGGGTCCCTTTACTTTTGTGTGAACGAAATCTTCACAATTTTCCCCCGGAGAACTTCATATACACAAGCTTCTGTTGTCAAATATTAAGTTAAATTCAAACTTAATAGTTGAATGAAGTGGTCCGTGAGTGAAAGAGTTTGGTTTTACGCCGCTTTTAGCAATATTCCAGCAACATCATGGAATCTATCTAACATGTCACCTATACACCTGCTCGTGTTCTGGAGTTAGTGGTACTCGTTGGTTTCAGCAAAGTGGGACACTTCTAAGACGTGTTTCAAATCATGTCAAACGCTATGATTGTTTCATCTTTTCCACCCTGCAGGTTATACTTGTCGTAAGAGACGATTTATTGAAACGGTCGGTCACGGCGTGCTTGCATCCTACCTCTACAACGTGAATTGTTGCTCAAAATCAAGGATGGCCTTTTTTTGGTATTTTTTGTATTCACGTCAGTTGAAAAAACTCAGGCTCCGAAACATTCTTAAATGAGAAACAACATACATAGAAAGGCACCCATTTCAGTCCAGTTAAATAATATTCTGGGAATAATAGACTAAGTACAAGATCGTGGAATCACAATGAAATGCAAGTGCTGCATCATCGTAAGATGAAGTCATAGCAGTCACAGCGCTTGTGACCCAAGGATGGTCTTGTCCTCTATGGAGTATTTACATACCGCCATCAAAGATGCATTATATCTGAGCCGGTCCTTGGGAACTATATTTTATAATCATATCTAGTCATGTCTAATCGTGTCTCTTCTCTGTTCAGGGTCTGCAATACTATTCCTATGACGCCCTCAACCGAAGGTACGCCATCAGCGGCAACTACACTTCTTTTGTCAGCTCCTACAAGGAAATCTGGGACTACCGTCAGGTGAGGCAACGTATTTCAAAGCAGCGACTTAATACGTTTTGAAGACACCCACAAGCACAAACGCATGCTGTGACTCCTGTCCTTACTGGAATGCAATATATTGTTGCCCTAGTAGGTGTGTGCGCGTGCGTGTGTGCGCGTGTGTGACCGTGCATGCTCGGCAAGGATGTTTTATATTCATCCTATATGTATGGTGTTGTCTGTCTCAGGTTGGACGCATGAAGATCCGGGTTAGAATTGATCTTCAGTAACACATGCTTGTCGTAAGAGGCGAATAATGGGATCGGGTGGTGAGGCTCGCTGACTTGGTTGACACATGTCATAGTATCCCAATCGATGCTCATGATGGCAGTCACTGGATTGTCTGGTCCAGGCTCAATTATTTACAGACCGCCCCCATATATCTGGAATACTGCTGATTGCGGCGTTAAACAACAACCAAGCAAGTAACTGTCTCAGGTTGTGTAACTCTGGCATTTTCTATAGCATCCTGATCCGTCAAAATTGACCTCTGTATTGTCAGCTGATCCTATGCAATATTGATCTTCGGCTATACAGCTTTCTCAGGGACTGATTAATCGATTCCAGTGTACTGGATTCCGCATCAACACTAAGCGGTAGGTTGGTTTGTCTGGTTGGTTGGATGTTTGGTAGTGTTGCTATGATCTGATTGATTGATTGGTTGCTTGATTTGATTGATTGATTGATTGCAGGGCACTGGCTTCCGCATCAACACCGATCAGCAAACTTGTGAGTCATTCGCTGTGACTGGGACATTCCCTGCCAACTGCATTCCGAGTGAGTCTTTCAAAAACCATTACATTGCAACTTTCAGTGAGTGATTAGATTTTGCGCATCAATGAACAGTATTTCACTTATACCACCAGCACAGGTCCCTGGAGAACTAGGGGTGGGGGTAGCCTAGTTGTTAAAGCGTTCGCTCGTCACGCTGAAGACCCAGCTTCCATCCGCGCACGGATACAGTGGTTCATTTCTGGTGTTCCCTGTCATGATATTGCTGGAATATTCTAAAAGAAACGCAAAACCTCACTCACTCCTTGCCAGAAGCGAAAACTAATATAGTCCCAACCATTTTTTCAAACATATGCTTAAAATATAAGACTGACTGACTGAGTTTAGTTTTACGCCGCCTTTAGCAATATTCCAGCAATATCACGGCGGGGGACACCAGAAATGGGCTTAACACATTGTGCCCATGTGGGGAATCGAACCCGGGTCTTCGGCATGACGAGCGAACGCTTTAACCACTAGGCTACCCCACCGCCCTTAAAATATAAGAAAGAAATTAAATCCAAAAGGAGACCAGGGCCCCGTTCCTCAAAGCGATCATAGCGCTACGACTGTCGTAAGTCTATGTTAAAGTATGGGAGTTACGATCATCTTAGCGCTACGATCGCTTTGAGGAACAGGGCCCTGAACAGTCCTTATTTTCAGAACTAAGGCTGTCTGGACTTGCCAAATGCATCTAAACATGGGCTTGGCTCTTTCGTTTGATTCATCCTAAAGGTGACTGACAAGGGAAGCTTACTACTTGAGATTCTTGAAAGGCATTTAGAAGTTGGTGAATAAAGAAGACCTGAAGGAGGGGCAAGAAGTGGCCCAGAAACGTTATGTTATACAATAAATAAGAAGTTGCCATCCATATACATGTCTTATAAGCTTATTACTTGTTGTTTATTGAACGATCACTTGCACTTCTATCCTGTTCCGAAAAGGTAGACAACTCATATCCCGTAATATATAACTGCATTGATCATTTGCTCTTTAGGTGGCGCTGTCGAGATGGGTCCTCTCTTCTACGGCTTTGGCACCGACAGCATTGCTGCGATAGCTTACCAGTTCAATGACACGAGAAACGAGTTTGAGAACACCGTTGCCATTGTCAGCCGCCGGGACTGCGTGCCAATCATCAGTACAACCACCATCCTCCGTCCCGGAAGTAAGTTTGCCTCAGAACATTCAGATTGTATCGGGGCTATTGTGCATTTGAAGGTTCAGATTGCACCGGGGTTATTGTGCACAGGAAGGCTCAAATTGTACATGGGTTATTGTGCGTTGGGAGGTTCAGATTGTGCCGGGGTTAGTCTGCATTGTGAGATTCAGATTGTACCGTGCTCAGTGCTCATTTGTAGGTCCAGATGTCTCCAGACGGTGTAAATTGGAAGGTTTACACAGGAAGGTTCGGTTAGTGGTCACTCGAAGGCTCAGAATGTACAGGGGTTAGTCTGCACTGGATGATTCAGATTGTACCGGGGTTCATCTGCACTGGATGATTCAGATTGTACCGGGGTTAGTCTGCACTGGATGATTCAGATTGTACCGGGGTTAGTCTGCACTGGATGATTCAGATTGTACCGGGGTTAGTCTGCACTGGATGATTCAGATTGTACCGGGGTTCGTCTGCACTGGATGATTCAGATTGTACCGGGGTTCGTCTGCACTGGATGATTCAGATTGTACCGGGGTTAGTCTGCACTGGATGATTCAGATTGTACCGGGGTTAGTCTGCACTGGATGATTCAGATTGTACCGGGGTTAGTCTGCACTGGATGATTCAGATTGTACCGGGGTTAGTCTGCACTGGATGATTCAGATTGTACCGGGGTTAGTCTGCACGGGGTTAGTCTGCACTGGATGATTCAGATTGTACCGAGTTGGTTAGTCTGCACTGCACTGGATGGATTGTACCGGGTTAGTCTGCACTGGATGATTCAGATTGTACCGTCTGTCTGCACTGGATGATTCAGGTTAGTCTGCACTGGATGATTCAGATTGTACCGGGTCTGCACTGGATGGGATTGTAGTTAGTCTGCACTGGATGATTCAGATTGTACCGGGTTAGTCTGCACTGGATGGATTGATTAGTGCACTGGATGATTGTACACTGGATGATTCAGATTGTACCGGGTTAGTCTGCACTGGATGATTCAGATTGTACCGGGTTAGTCTGCACTGGATGATTCAGATTGTACCGGGTTAGTCTGCACCGGGTTAGTTGGATGATTCAGATTGTACCGGGGTTAGTCTGCATTGGGATGATTCAGATTGTACCGGGGTTAGTCTGCACTGGATGGAAGATTCATGATTCAGATTGTACCGGGGTTAGTCTGCACTGGATGATTCAGATTGTACCGGGTTAGTCTGCACTGGATGATTCAGATTGTACCGGGTTAGTCTGCACTGGATGATTCAGATTGTAGAGTCTGCACTGGATGATTCAGATTGTACCGGGGTTAGTCTGCACTGGATGATTCAGATTGTACCGGGGTTAGTCTGCAGTCTGCACTGGATGATTCAGATTGTACCGGGGTTAGTCTGCACTGGATTGATTCAGATTGTACCGGAGTCTGCACTAGTCTGCATCTGGGATGATTCAGATTGTACCGATTGTACCGGGGTTAGTCTGCACTGGATGATTCAGATTGTACCGGGGTTAGTCTGCATTGGGAGATTCAGATTGTACCGGGGTTAGTCTGCACTGGATGATTCAGATTGTACCGGGGTTAGTCTGCATTGGGATATTCAGATTGTACCGGGGTTAGTCTGCACTTGATGATTCAGATTGTACCGGGGTTAGTCTGCAATCGTAGGTTCAGAAGTGTAAGTGGACAGCATACAAATTGAAGATTATGCCGGGGTTATTGTGCATGTGAAGGGTCAGATCTTTGCGGAGTTATTGTGAACTGGGAGGTTCAGATTGTGCAGGGGATATCGTGAATGTAAAGGTTCAGACTGTGTCATTGAGGTATTGAGTGAGTGAGTGAGTGACTTAAGTTTTACGCCGCACTCAGCAATATCCCAGCTATATGGCGGCGGTCTGTAAATAATCGAGTCTGGACCAGACAATCCAGTGATCAACAGCATGAGCATCGATCTGCGTAATTGGGAACCGATGACAAGTGTCAACCAAGTCAGCGAGCCTGAAAACCCGATCCCGTTAGTCGCCTCTTACAAGCATGGGTTACTGAAGATCAATTCTAACCCGGACCTTCACGGGTCAGAGGTATTGTGAATTGGAAGGGTCACACAGTATTTGAGTTTGTGTACACAGAGAATGGTTCCTGTGTATTATATGTCATGTTTTGGAGGACATGTATGTATTGTGTCATAATATATGTGTGATATTCTTTTCAGACAACTATTTGAAAGCTCTGGGCTACAACAACATCTTCCCCGGCATCAGGGACAGCTCCGTCTTTGACCCCCCATCCTACTGTAGAAAGGTGAGCATAATACTGAGGTGCACCCTTGCATACCAGATCCCCCACTATACTGCAATAGGGAAACATTTTTCAAATACACATTTACGTTATACAGCATCACTTAGGACATTTTTTATCATTTGGTTTGTGGACTGTTTTCCTCGAAATCGACCCGTAAAGATCCTGGTTAGAATCGATTTTCAGTAACCCATGCTTGTCGTAAAAGGCGAGTAACGGGATCGGGTGGTCGGGCTAAATGACTTGGTTGACACATGTCATTGTATCCCATTTGCGAAGATCGATGCTCATGCTGTTGATAATTGATTGCCAGGTCCAGACTCGATTATTTACAGACCTTCGCGATATATAGCTGAAATATTGCTGATTGCGGCGTTAAACAGCCAACCAACCTGTTGTACAAAGGGGAGAGTTCCTTCCAGCTAGATGCTTGCATCCTACACATCCTCACTCCACATCTGCCCTACCATGTGAGACGAGTGAGTGACTTACGGTAGTTTGACGCCGTTTTTAGCGATATTCCAGTACGTCGGGGGGACACCAGAAATGGGCTTCACACATTGTGCCCATATAGGTGAGGTGAGGTGAAATTGGGTTTAACGTCGTGCTTGAGAATATTTCGCTCATATGACGACGTGCATGCGTGTGTATGTGTATGTGCGGCTGCTTGTACTAGCCCAGACGTAAGCTGGTTTTATAGTGAGATACCATGCTGCAGTGAAGCATGAATACCCCACTCAGACATATTATACTGACTCCGAGCCGACCAGTCCTTGTTGTACCCATTAATGTCGAGCGTCAGGCAGGGACCAACAAGTACCATAATTTAACGTCTTTTGGTATGACGCGGTCGGGGATCGAACCCGCGACCTTCCGCTCTCCGGGCGGACGCTCTAACCACTACACCACGGAGGCGGTCTTGTGCTCATATAAGGAATCGATCCCTGGTCTTCGGTGTGACGAGCAAACGCTTTAACCATTATGCTACCCCACCGCTCCACCATATCAAACGAGCAAACACCATGCATTTCAGATCGCCATCAGTCAGTATATGATTTTAATGAGACTGTTTTATCTAAAAATATCAATAAATTTAAGGTTTATTTTCTTTATTTCTTTCTCAGAGTGCCAAGAATGCTGTCAACACCGTGTATGATATCCGCCGTGTCTAAAGAAGTTTTACGTGTCTTACTGTGTAATACGAAGCTGGAAACGCCATTGTCGAACAACGAACGAATGGATTGTAACTGAGAATAAAGTATGCATTTGTTATTAGTGTCATGTTAAACTCTGTCTCATAATCATTAAAGGTGCAGTAGAAACGTCGCATCCCATGCCGTTCTGGGGTGCGACAACGCCAACGACGATCTTGCCCACTAGAATACTCAGATAATTTAGTGATGAATTCGTGCTCTCTTCAACCAGTAAATCCGGATTCGTTTCCCTAAAGTGCACACCGTTCATTTCGGTTTTTGGTGTAACCCTCTGTAAATTGATTACGGGAAGGAAGACTGAACGCCTTCCTTGTTCAATCTGAATATGTATTTGTGAGGATTTTACATCGTTGTTTTTACATCATTCAAGCGGACTTCGAAAATGACCACCACAAAACGCCACTTTAATTTGACATTCACGATGTCGAGGCATCACTACAACTTTTAGTGTTTTCTATGCAAAACCTGTCGAAACACGATTTTCCTTCCAAGTCAACGAGAAGACAATTTAAAAGAAAGCTTAAAAGAAGAAAATATTGATACATTTGTTTAATATTTGAAAGAAATTCTAAAAGAAGTTTCAAATGAGCTGATGACAAAATGTATATACACGAGTCATCCAGTGGATAGAGTGGGTACATTAGTCGGGTAGGCATATAGTGGGTTGATTAACCGGGTCGTTGTATTTCAGTAGGCAGATTTACCGGGAAGTTGAGTAGGCACATTAACCGGGAAGTTGAGTAGGCACATAAATCGGGCAGTTGAGTGGGGACATTAAACGGATAGTTGAGACGGGAGATCAAACTGGTGTTGTTTAAAGATCCAAAAGTTGAAAACGTCACCAGAAGTGTTAAAACGCCCTAAGCAGCACCAAACAAGACGTTACAATTCAAAAAGGTTCAAATGTCACTGGAAGTGTTAAAACGCCTGAGGAAGAGCTAAAAACTGTTAAAATTCCAAAAGTTGAAAACGTCACCAGAAGTGTTAAAACGCCCGAAGAAGCGCATATATCACATGCAGAATGTCAAGTGTGAAATGCTGTACGTCACATGCAGCACGAGGCACTGGAGGAGGTGAGGTGAGGTGAGGTGAGGTGAGGTGAGGTGAGGTGAGGTGAAATTGGGTTTTACGTCGTGCTTGAGAATATTTCGCTCATATATGACGACGTGCATGCGTGTGTATGTGTATGTGCGGCTGCTTGTACTAGCCCAGACTTAAGCTGGTTTTATAGTGCTAGCCCACTGAGATACCATGCTGCAGTGAAGCATGAATACCCCACTCAGACACATTATACTGACTCCGAGCCAACCAGTCCTTGTTGTACCCATTAATGCCGAGCGCCAGGCAGGGACCAACAAGTACCATATTTTAACGTCTTTTGGTATGACGCGGTCGGGGATCGAACCCGCGACCTTCCGCTCTCCGGGCGGAAGGCACTGAAGGAAGTTTGTAAGCAGCTTATCCGCACTGTGTATTAGTCTGCCTCAGTCCCTGAACCACATAATTTTTCCAACTGCCCAGCCCTCCCTGCAATGCTGAAGCACTAAATGAAGCAAGTCTAGATTTCTTCTCGTTCTGAATCTGGCATCTCACTGGAGCTCCTTTTCAATTTAAATGGATTTATTTGTTACCATGAAAATTTTATATATTCAGAGACTAAACGTTAGTCTTGTAGTATATCGGCGCTAGGTTGTAACATACAGTACAACCAGAAATTATTGAGAATTAAGATTGTAATTTTTTATATTTTGTCACTCATTACTCATGTATTGAAAGTGAATATTAGCAGAACATAACTCCAGATTCAAAGACAGGTGAACAGTTAGTATTTTGTCAAGTCACCATGGGCAGCAATGCAGGCTTCAATGTGGCGGGGCATACTACTGATCACAGACGTTAGAAAGTCGCGGTCCACCTCTTCTTTCATTTCAGCAATATTTGTCAGATTTTTCTTATTGACACTTTCCTTCATAAGTCGCCAAACAGTCGCCTATTGGATTTAGGTCAGGGCTATAGCTTGGCCAATCTAATAATGTCATATTTTGGGTCCGAAACCAGGCCTGTGAATGCTTTGAACAATGTTTTGGGTCGTTGTCCTGCTGGAAAATCAAAACTTTCCATAGAACACGTGAGCAGATGGAAGTAAATGTCCCTTGAGAATATCTGTGTACCGCTCACTGTTCATATTCCCTTCAAATACACAGAGGGGCGTTGCCCCTAACACAGATATGCCACCCCACACGTTAAATTTCGCACTGTACTTTGGGCGCTGATACAAAGGTTTTTCAGTTTGTTTGGTCCAGAATTTCAGTGTATTAGGAAACAGCCACACAGAACTTTCATCTGAGAAAATCACATTGTCCCAGTTAAAATTTCTATGCTGTAAGCACCAGTTCAACCTTCGCTCCTTTTGTTCAGGTTTACTGATCGGTGATGGAATTCCTCGACTTTTTCTGCCAACCCATTACATGCAGCTCAGTTCTATTTGTCTCCTTACAGACAGCCACAGTTCCTCTATCAATCATATCCAGCCTTAAGTTTTCTAAACTCCTTCGTTTGTTTTTTAGAAACAAGAATACCAAGCCGCCTCCTGTCACCGACAGTCAATTTTCTGGGCCTACCTGCGCCTCCCTGGTGCTCAATGCCATATCCATTCGCAATATTTTTCAAAACACGATAAACAGTTGACAAAGGGATGCCTGTTCTACTTGAAATCACTTTAGCTGATCTGATGTCCTTGTTATAATACTCTAAAATCAACTTCCTCTTCTCTAAATCATCCATACTGAGGATCACTAAAAATGTCGTCTGCTAGCAAGTAAACAAAGGGGGGATAACTCTTCACAAACTAATGAAAAGGATCAACGGAGTTGTCTCTCTTGAATGCAACCAAGCACTTGATAGCTGGTCAAGGTTGTTTATACTAGAAATCCAATTAAACATATTCCTAGAATTCTCAATAATTTCTGGTCATACTATATATCCTCTATCTCTCCCTTTAGCAAACACCTCATGGGGATGTCACTAGGTTACAGGTCAGGCGTGTACTGGTCAGCTGTTTGGTCATTGGCTGTACGGGAGGTCACACATACTCTTTTAGTTCTGGGATTGGGGCGGTGGGATAGCCAAATATTTAAAGCGTCTGCTCGTCACGTCGAAGACCTGGGTTCGATTCCCCACATGGGTAAAATGTGTGAAGCCCATTTCTGCTGTCCCCCCGTCGTGAAATTGCTGGAATCTTGCTAAAAGAGGCGTAAAACCATTCTCACTCACTAGTTCTTGGATTGCATCTTTATGATGTTGCCTCATAAGGACAAAACAAAGATCATCCGGACAACCACTGCACTACAGGTCTTACCAGATTACCTATTTTAGGAATAAGAACAACATTCTTTGTAGTTAGAATATTTTCAAGTAAACCAGTGCGAGGTGGCAGTTAGAAACGGGGAGCCGAGCACTAAGCTCCTCGTGAAAGCTCACAATAAAAGGTTTAGCACCAGCGGATGGACTTGTCATTGAAGACATTTCGCCTGAAGCATCAACTTCTGAGACGTATACGTTCAAATAACCCAACTTTTAAGACCTGGAATTCAGACAAACAGGTCTTTTGCCCTTCAGTTACATGACAATGACGGAATGGGTCACATCAACCGGTGAATCAACACGCCACCATCATGTCAAAATGTAGCGGATGGTCTCATATTAAATTGTATTCATTGAGCCTTTTTTAACCGTATGTTCTCATTAAACGCAAGGCCTCTATTAATCACAAGCCGTTGACGCCGAGAGAGGCGTTGGTTCTGTTGCTGGAAATGCGGCAAACCACTAATTCCCAATTTCTGTGTCCTTTCAGAATAGGGCCGGGACGAGTCCAATATTTCTACTCGGGTACCCCACCCCCTATTACCCTACCCTACACTGATACCCGTTATGTTAAAAGGTCACATGTAACGTAAAACACAACTTTGCAGATTCTTATACCTTTCGGTATGGACTTGCCGAAACAAATCATCAAAATGCAAATTCAACTTATAAAGTTGAAAAATAACGCGATGAAAAACCGCGCGAAATCGTAGTTCAAACGATTCACTAACTTTCCCCAGCGCTTGGGGAATTGAAGTGGTTTCAACAGCTGGGCTGCGCTCATAGCACATGCGTAGTGAAATAGGTTCGCGGATCTTGGAAGCGGGTTGTTTGGTGAATATTCGGTGAAGGCTTTGGTGTGAGCTATTTTTCTAATGTTTTGTTGATATTTCACAGGCGCGAGCTTTTATATGTTATTACAGTAGATTACCGATTTAACTGTTTATATAATTTCATTTGTCTATTTCACCCCACGTTCTTCTTACCGAGTCATTTTCTCAGTTCGATGCTTAAAAGCAATGTCATTATTTAGGGTCGACAGAATTTCTAACTGTGATATAGATATGTCGTTGTCTGAACAAAACTCAATGTCTGTTTTATTGGCACCTATGTGTCTGCCTGTCTGCTAATGACAATATTCAATACACAATTTCAATCACTGACCACATGCAATTTGAATTTAACACCTATCAGGCTATACACCATTAACAAAACGCATTGATTTATGGCCCGAGTTCGGTCTCTGTCACATTATGTAATTACACAGACAGGCAGGTGTGATACTTGTACACATGACATGTTATGATGTCTGTTGATTGCAAAATGTTATACACAAAAATGAGCATGTATTTACAAAACCCAACATCTCTATATATACACACACAATGAGCCGTGAGGGCGGCATCTGCAAATGAACCAGCCGTTACACTTGAGTGCACACCCACCCGCTCTGACTGGGTTCGGTATCCCGGCTGCTTCGTTTCGAGGGAAGTAAACCCAAGTACACAATATTGCACTTTTGATTTGCGATTGTACGCTTATAATTTTGTTTATATGTTTTTTCATAACCAGCAATGTATATTATATGTCATGAATAAGTGATAATTGTGTTTTAATTATGTTTGATTTTTGGTTACATGTGACCATTAATTCCTGACATCAATTTTGTAAGAAAAAGCTTCGGCTTTGGGGC